TTTATAATCAGAGATCATAAGCTCGTGCCCCAGACAACCAACAAAATAATAAAAGAGAAAGTACTTATTGGCCGGGAAATTTGGATCTAGCAGGACTCATGTAAATAGATAGAAAGTCTTTTTTGTATGTGGTTCGAATAGGGCACTGCTTGATATGTAAGGCACAACCCCGCTTATGATGTTCATATAGGCAAACAAATACAAAAAGCAAGATTTTAGAAAAAATTGATTCTTTCTTTTCGTGTAGTCCTTGAAACAAACCCAGAGGTCCCGACTGAAACCTCATATTTCCATGAAAGATCTGTCAAAGGAAACATCAACGATTTGCAAGAAGTTGGAAAATGTATAAATAGCGCGAAGAGAGGAAACAAGAAAGAAAAAAGAAAATAATTGCACCCATTAATGATGCAAAGAAATACCTCTTCAACCTGTTCTTTCAACATCTGGTCAAAAATTGGAATAATCCAATCCTCAAATTTGCAGTAGTTTTCATTTGGAACCAACAAGTTACCAATGCGGTTCAATCCTTTTGATCGCAAAAGAGCTCCAGGTAGAGAAAAATCACCTTTGTACGTGGGTGCAAGGCATTTTATTAGATCTTCCTCCACACCACCCGCAGTAGTAACCACAACATCAACCTGCAGCAGGTCCAAAAGCTATCACACAAATGTCCTATTCATAACCATTATTTCATTCATTGGTTCTTTATAGTTAGCAATATAATTCCCAGAACATTAATGACAATCATAGGAAGACTGCAGACTATGCATCAGAGCCTACTAGCAGAATTAATACTCCCTAGGCAAGAAAAGAACAAAATAACTATACTATATTTCTTTGTTTATGCGCAAGGATAGTACAATGCTACATTGAACAAATGAGTTTAAATTCTTTATTTATAACTCGAGCGCTCAGTAGTAGAACAGTATATACTAGATTCACAAAGCTAACATGAGAGAGTGCACAATTAAGATTGTCAAAGATACTTTGTCTAGCTGCACCAGAAAGATGGCGAGAGAATATCTAAGCCGCTAAAGATTTTTTTTTTTTTTTTAAAAAAAAAAAAAAAACTCATTTCGTTAACAAAGAACAATTACATTAGAGCCAGCTTTTACTCTTCCATACTAACTGTCTCTTCTGTTTCATTGAATACTCAATATCATTCCAGTTACACCAAAGAAAATTACCACATTCATTTCCTTCATCTTCTTACTTTCTTAAATGGACCATGACTCCACAACATATAAACGGCATTTATGATCCTCTTTTAAGCAATTAAACCAGACAGAAGTTTCTGATATAAGAAAGAAGAGTAGAAAAAGTCAGCATAGAGGCATGTCACTGACCATACGATGTTGAACAAGATAGCGAATTGTATCCCTAACACCAGAAGAAATAAGATTTGAAGTAAAACCCAAAAACACTTTACACCTCACAGACTCTCTGTAAGCCTGGTCCCTCTCCTGCTCACTACAATCCTCTGTCACACTTTCATCAGCAAGCCTCCAGTCTAGCTTCAATTCCAACCACAAACACAAAGTTACAGAACTTTGTTTAAAATTACACAAGAAAACAGAAAAGCCCAGAAGTAAAAAAAAGATGGAGAGACAAACGATCAAACCATCTGATTGACGACTTCAATGGCGTCCCCGAGATTGGAAGCTTGAAACCCAGTTGTGATCATGGATTTGAGAAGCTGGGGATAGTTCACTCCTTCGTTGAAATCGTAGCCTTCGATCTTAGCGCACTTGCCCTCCAGAGATTCCGATTCCTTGAATGCTGCTGCGTGAGCCGAAGAGAGAGCGAGATTCTCCATTGCAATTCCAATTTATTTTTCTTTTCCTTTTCTCGCTGCTATGGTAAAGAAGATGATTGAGTACAAACCAAAAGATTGGTGGTAATTAGGGCTAGGGTTTGAGTACAAACCAAAGATGAGAAGTTGGAACTTAACAAGTTTTCTAACTAGTCAAAAACTGTATTCTGTCTCCGCAACTGTGAAGTTCTTCATAAGTTTTGAGAGGAGACGGGAAAGAGCTTTGTTTCTTTTAAGGGAAAAGAAGGGGAGGGAATGGGAAGATCACATTTACAAGACGTGTTTTACCTTTTTTTCTGAATAGTATGTATTGAATAACATGGTTTACCTTTACTCAATGATGAATACATATGTTAATGTATAATTAAATTATATAAAATTAACAAAGTTGTATATATATGTTTAATAGTTTTAATAAAAAATTGAAATTTATTCTAAACATAAACTAAATCTTATTTTTAAAACTTTATCAATTGTAGTTTTCTAATATGTAAATTTTAACTTTTTTTTTTTAAAAAAAAATAAATTCTAAAAATAAACAAATAATATTTAAAAGGATGGTAATCACAATTCAAACTATTTAAATATAATTTCAATTAAATTACGTGTTCTAATTATATTAGAACATCTGTTATAGTCAATGATTATTTAAATAATTTTTAATTTACAATATCTATTGTAATTATAATTTTATTAAAATTATAAATAAACTCCATGGACCAATTTAATAATCTCACACACCTATACAACAAACAAAATAATTATACGTATATATTTTAAATAAAAAATTAATATTTTTATCAAAATAAGTAGTACACATATATCAATCACGATATTATATAAATAATTTTTAAATAAGAAAACATAAAAATATAATTTAACTTAAAGAAACAATATCTTGTAAAAAAATAAATGTATCAATTATTTAATTAATCAATATTTAAATATAAAAAAAAATTTAAAAGATAATATTAAAGCAACTAATTATTACTCTTAGAATAGAAATATTAGATTCCAATATTATATCATCTAACTTTATGTTTAGAATAAATATTAAAAATTTACACTAACTTTAATAATAAGATGATAAATTTTCTCAACAAAATTAAGAATATGAATCATTGAAGAGATGAAGTACTTTATCCCCACTGAAACTTTCACACTCGTATCAAGGAAAGAAATACACAGAGAGCATGGAAAAAAGAGGGTAATCCACTCATGATGGTACAACAATAAACACATATTTGGAGAAAATTTACAATTTCAGAAAAAAGGGATTAGATAGATGAAAACCTATTATACACAAATGAGTAATTATCCCCGTCAAGAGTCTGACGCATTAGCCGGTGTTGGAAGGAAATACTAACTACCACTACCATTTAGGTTCACGCAGTATACACAACTTTGTACTATGTGCAAAGTATGAGCAAGAAAAAAGCTCTCATAGATTGCTATAGACACGTTGACTTGTTCTGTTTCTCAATCTTCCCTAATGATATCTGCATGAAATATCAAGTCATAAGAGTTTCTTTCAAATTCCAGGTATGTTCTATAGACAGGAGAACAAAATATAAATAAAAAGTAGCATTCTTTTTCTAAATTAGTTCAATTTTCTTCTATCTATTTTTTTTTGCAATAGCAATATAAATTTATTATTGTCAAATAAGAGATACAAGAAAAAATATTTAATTACATATCAAATATATAAATATATAAATGATAACTAAATTTTCTATATCAAATAATTATAATCTATGAATAAAATAAGAATAAAATATATCTGAGACAAATGAAACATAAGAGTTATGTTTCTAGGAAGCAATTTCTTCCATCTAATAATGGCCTCGTTGATAAAAGCCAATTTAAGAGGTTCCCATGCCACGCAAGCATACAGACAAAACAATGAACAGGACATTGACTTCAAAATGCAGATTTTTTTTAAACGTAAAATTAGCCCAAACCTAAGTTTAAACAGTTTAAACACAGACCATCTCACATGGAGGTGGCTGGAACTAACCACCTAGCGAGGTGCTGGTGGTTAAATGCACATGAACCAAAGAAAATTGCTTTTTCCATTCAATTTGCACAGGGATAAACAACAAAATTTCTAGCATTCAGATCCCAGAATATCAACAAAAACCAAATGCATGAATTGCATTCCCGGAACTAAAAATGATGTGGCATTTTCCAAGTACTCAGCATTTGGCCCCTCAAGAATCAGGGCTCAAGAATAACTATTGGCGTCTTAAGATTAGAAATAGTTACTGTCAAGAGCATTATTTTGGATAAGCCAGATGATACTACTCATTAAGCAGAGGAAAACTATGAGCATTGGCAGAAAAATAGGGACGAATTATTTATACAGTTAAAATGTTGCACATATTGAGTTGCATCGCTTTGTCATATAGAGAACGAGTATTCTGGTGAAAGTTCAAAAGAAAAAAAATCTTCTGCGAGGTAAGTAAAATTACCAGTAGTAGGTCCTCGTCAGTCCCAAATGATTTGCGTGCCTCTTCGAGGCATTTTGATGAGACTCTCTCATGTTTCCTGCATAAAATTTTTATCACTTCATAAATTCTTAAAAATATATTATTGACAGTTAAAAATAAAGGCAAATTGAATTTTATCCAAGCCAACTAGTTCAAATACTAATGTGTTTCCTGCTACCCAATAGGATGGTTCCATCTGGTTTGACTTCTTCGTAGCAATCCCAAATACCCAGGAAAACATAAATAATACATTCTGAATATTTCCCCATGGCTCAAAATATTTGATCACATCATTTTCCTTTATATATTGACAGAACAAACCATAACTTCTACACTCCTCTCGGTATTGACAGATTTTCCAAGTTTCTTCCCATGCTTTTGATGAAGATAAATAACGGAAACTACTGATGTTATTGATCAAATGACATCAATAGGTACCTAGAACTGGCAGGATCTCTAATCTCAAACTCATCTGCCCCGGCATCATAGCCACATATCACCACATAGTGACCTAACAGGAACATCATATCTAGTTAGTAATACATAAGTAGCTCAAACAAACAAACTTAAGGACATTATTTGTAAGGAAATAGCAAACATTATGACAGAGAACCCTAGATGTAGGCACTGGAAAAGGAAAAGAAGACTTAAATACTTAATGGTAATATTAAAAGTCTGCTATTGAAGTCATATTTGCAGAGCATAAAGAACTTAGAATTATGAAATATGGCAGCGAGAGAAAAAAAGTACTTGCCAGCTTTAAGCATAAGGATTGAAAGCACTCAAATTTGATAGGGAAAATAATTAAAACAACACAAATTAGTTGAACTGTAACATATGAGCTTCAGGATGTCCAACCTTCTACCTATAAATAACAGATATATACAGATAACCATCTATCTATAAATAACAGATATATACAGTAAAAAAGTATCACAAATTCCCCCCGTAGCATTCAACAAAGAAAGTAGCTGATTTTGTCAACCAAAAATAAGTCCCTTGAGTAAAAAGGGCAATTGACATTTGCTTCCACTAAAACATTCTGAGTAAATTGTCAACTTGTAGTAATTCCATTTTGTATTAAAGAATCACAAAAAACATTGGAGAGTGCCACTTCTCACCAGTGTAGCCTGAGTTGCTGCCCTGAAAGCTTGAGAGAATAAGATCTTCCACCCAAGAATGACTGCAAAAATAAAGTTTGCACAAGAACTAAAAATTAGTAATTTTTGTTTTTTTGAAATAAAAAAATTAGTAAATTCTTGATTGTTTACATATTAATAATCCTAGTGTAGGAAGGAGCCAAACGTCAAAATTTATGTGCATGGGCCAAAGACTAACAAAGCAAGGGAAATTAATAAAGAGGAGATACGATGAGGGTACTTTCAGCAAAACAAAATGCCGATGTGTTTAGAAATACTGAAAATATATGAATGTTTATGGGTGCTCCCCGAAAAATAAAAAGTCAGGTGTAAGAAAGTCACTGAAAGTGTACAGTAGGAAGAAAGGTAAAAGTATAAATAGGTGGAGTGAAGTGGACAATTTTGTTTCTCAGTCACAGCAAGGTTTTTGGCTTAATTCGGTTATAACCAAAAGGATGCGCCTAACTGAAAGGTGCGCCTTCTGTGCCTATATAAATGGCTCATGGTAGGAAGGAAAGACAGATCCAATTTTGGATTCAAATTCTTTCTCAATTCAAATTCTCTCTCAATTTTGAATTCAGTTACACCAAAGCTTGAAGACTATACCAGTAAATAAAAACAAAACGAAGATAAAAACTAAAAACTAACTTTACCTCAATTTGTACTGGTCAACTAGCACAATAGCAATATAATTCCCTGACAAAATCAATTGAGAAATTTCTTTTGCGTTAATTGACCTGCACTGTAGGAAGATTTTGTTTATTGACTAATTCCAAACCATAGTAAGGAAAAGATCGCGCATGAAACCAAAAGATCAAGAAAGAACCAAACTTGGCATATACTAACATAAATTTATCTGCAGTGTTTTGACATAAAGCTCCCAAAACGTTCAACACATTTAAGAATATTACTCCAAATACCTTACATTTTAATTTTCAAGGAAGCCTTAAAACAGTTATTACAAATCTGGAAGAGGAAAACCTGTTTTAAAGTAATGAAAGCATCAAATTTCTTTAGACAATAATTTTGTGAATCTCTATCTAGAAATAAGTTTGTAGAAATTGAATGTGGCAAATAAAAAACATCTTCGTTATCGGGAATAAAAGAACAAATAGCAGAAAGAATCCATATTTCAATTAATGGATTATACCTGGATATTTATTCCAGCTTCTAGTGCTTTTTGGAATAGCATATCAACTCGGACCAGATCAGTTGGCAATTGCTCCTGCCGAATATTTAGATTAACTTCATCAACAACTGTTAACATCAAGTATCATGAAAAATGTTCATAAAACATTCACAAACTATAACTAACCTAAATATCATGAACGGAACAATTAACTAATTCTTGAGAAGTTCAAAAATTTAACCATTAAGGTTACAACAACTCATCCCGTTGTGGCTAAGATAAAACTAGCAGTCCCCTAGAGATTATTGTGAACATTGGTTATAATCGCTAATAGTATAAAGTCTAAAATAATGTAATGATCCTGGCGAGGATAGCCAGAAATTGACATTCCTAAGCACATTATTATTTTAACATCTAACTTTAGTATGAACTCCCTAAGGGAGGAAATCTGACAGTTTAAAATGATGTAACAGTTTCGGTGATGAAAGTCAGACATTAATATTCCTAGGCACATAACTTTGCTAAGGTTTTGGACAATATTATTATTGGTGAATCACAACATGCTTTTGTGGGTGGCAGACAAATTTTAGATGCAACCCCGATTGTCAATGAAATTGTTGACAATCGGTTAAACAAGAAAAGGAAAGGGGTGCTATGTAAACTTGACATGGAAAAAGTCTACGATCATGTTAATTGGGCTTTTGTTGACTACATGCTTATGAGATTAGGCTTTGGAGACAATGGAGAAGATAGATTAAAGCATGCATTACAACGACTTCCTATGCTGTTTTGATCAATTGGGGACCTCTACCTTTTTCCGGACTTCTAGAGGCCTAAGACAAGAGGATCCGTTATCCCCATTTCTCTTTATTGTGGAAATGGAAGCTCTCAACAGAATGTTAGTGAAAGTAAGAGAACATAATCTGTTCCAGGACTTGAGCGTGGGCAAGGGGGATGTTAGAGAGGAGGTGACACACTTTTTTTTCACTGATGATGTGTTGTTATTCTGTGAACCTGAGAAGAAAGCGTTATTGAGTATAAGATGTGTTCTGATGGGTATTCAGGTGGTCTTAAGGCTTAACATCAACCTAACAAAATTAGAACTTGTCAGACTTGTAGGGGCAAAGGACCAGGAGGGACTGGCTAGAGTTCTGTGGTGTAATGTGACTAAGTTGTCCATCAAATACCTGGGCATGCCTTTGGGAGCTAATTACAAGGACTCCAAGACTTGGGAACCAGTGATTAATAGATTTGAACAGAGACTTGCTGGTGGAAAAAGAGCTTACTGTCAAAAGGTGGAAGACTCACTCTTGTAATGAGCACTTTGTGCAATCTACCTATTTATTACTTGTCTATTTTAACCATCCCAAGCAGTGTTGCAAGTAAATAGGAGTCAATGCAATGCAGATTTCTATGGGGAGATGTGGAATATAAAAGAAATTTTCATCTGGTTGCTTGGAATGAATTGAAGAAACCTATGTCCCATGATGGGTTGGGCATCTGGTCGATGATTGAAATGAATGCAGCGTCACAAGGGAAATGGTTGTGGTGATTCATGAATGAGGAGAATGCTTTCTGGAAAAGAGTCATTACTTCAAAATTTGGATTGGAGGAGAGAGGTTGGCTCATCTGTGGGGCCATGCACTCTCATAATAAAAGTTTATGGAAAAAGATCGAGGATGGTAAGGAGAGTTTCTTGAGATATACTCGCTGGAATGTGGGAAGGGGCAACATAATCAGATTTTGGGAAGATCAATGGGTAGAAGGTGGCTTGCTTAAAGATCAATTTCCGCAGATTTATGATATTGCCCAAAATAAGGGAGTGGGGGTCTGTGACTGTTTGTGAGGGAGGCTGATAGGGGTGGGGTGTGGCAGGTGTTTGGTGTTAAGAAACCTGAATGATTAAGAGATAAATGAGTATGAGAAGCTGATGAGAGCTTTATCACTTGCATCCCCTGGTAACAATAATGATATACCTCGATGGACGCTCCCGAAAAGTGGGTCTTTCACAGGAAAATTTGGTACAATGGGCTCTTACAGAGTGCGGATAATATTGATCCCTTCCCGTATAAACAATATGGAAGGTCAAAATTCAACCTCAAATTTCTTTGTGTGGGAGGTTAGTAGAGACTGCATTCTAAAAATTGATAAATTGAGGAGGAGGAAATTGGTTCTGGTTAATGCATGCTATATCTGCAAGCAGGTAGAGGAGAGCTGCAATCATCTTTTATTGTGGTGCCCTATGGTGTACTTGTTATGGACCATGGTGTATAATTCGATTGGGATAAGTTGAGTAACAGTGGGTTCGGTTAAGGAAGAGTTATGGGCTTGGGAATACCTTAAAGACAGATGTATCTTTGCTGATCTGATTCGGCTTACACTTATTTGGACTATTTGGGAGGAAATGAATAGAAGGGCGTTTGATGGCATTGATGATGTAAAGAGTTTTGATGTTCTTAAAAACAGATAGTTTAGGATCCTAGGATTTTTGTTGATGAGCCATCCTCATGTGTTTTGTGAGACTCTTTTTGAAGTAAGTGTTTTGTGAGACTCTTAAGAGTCCTGTTTTGTGCGGAGGACTGAACTGTAAATAACTGTACATGAATTCCACCCCTTGGTGCTTATACTAATATACATTTATACTTTTTATTTGAAAAAATATATTCCTAGGCACATTATTATTTTGACATCTAACTTTAATATGACCCCATTCGGGGGTTTAGAGAGTAAGTATCATGTTATATATGTTTCTTTTGCATATACATACATTAAAAGAAAAGTTAAAAAATATTATCCGAGAAACAGCCACCTAGAAATCTGAATTGCTGGAACAAACTGATAAGTGAGTTATAACTTTATATAACAAGAGAACTCTCAAAAGAAAAAAAAAAAGGAGCAAACATTTCCATCTATATGTCAAAATCACCTTGTAAAATGTCTCAACAGAGTAATTTGGGTTTGCTCCAAATGTTATGGTGAAATAGGAAAATCTAACAGAAAACTTCTGCAGTAAATATGCCAGATCAACAGTCCAAATGCTGCAAACAGGATGGCAAGAATGAGAATAATCAAAGACCTGTTATATAGCTTGTATTAAATGTGTCTCTAATCTGTCTTCTGCATGCAAAAGTTCACCATCCAATAAATATAGACCGGCAGCTTAAAAGATACTCCCGCATCTAACTTGTGAAAAAGTTAGGACTGATAACAAGATACTGATCAATATAAGAAACAAATACTGCCAAGGTTTTAGAATTTCATGAATCATGAAAATAAGTTAATCTGTCAGCCAATCTAGCGCCAAATCTGATTTGTTTTAACATAAATTTCCTAGGATCAGAAAGACAGGGTTGCTCAAAAAGAAGTCATAGCATTTTAATTTTAATTAAACTCCAACGTTAACATTGTTACATTATCATAAACTAGATTATTCAATAATCAGGTTTCAAAAGAAAACAATCTAAATGAATAGATGATTCAACTCAGCAGAGAAGACTGAACCTGGTTGTCCCACATAGATCTGCCAAGTCCTGGATATTGCAATCATCAATTCCCATTGTTCTTAGAACCATCAAAACACAAGCAAGGCCACAATCCCAAGAGCATAGCTGGTTAATATGTGGAACCTATAAGCAGCAAAACAAGTTAACTTCATACATATACCAGAAAAGAAACTACACAAAAAATGAAATTGTAACAAGAGGAAGCAACATAAAAATAGGTGAATTATCATTTTAGACTCTAAAATATTTTTTATGTCACAATTAATTCACGAAAATCTTTTTATTACAATTTGGTACTTAAATTTACAGAATTATTTTAAATTGTGCTTCTCTTTATAATTGTAAACATTTTGACAGAAAATGACAATTTTTTTTTTGTTTTCTCATTTTGTATTCGATCAAGTTAAAAAATTATCACAATTAAAGATTAAACCTCAATAAACTTAAATAACCATTAATTTATTCTACTTGAGTCATGTAAATGATAATAACAAACATTAGAGGAAAAAAAAGGTATGCAATGACTTTTTTTAAAATTTTTTTTGTCTAATTCCGGTCCTACATAGAAGTATTAGCTTACTTAAATTATTTTTATACAAGACAGTAAGATCTTTTGCTATTGCTGTGCAAAATTTTCTCAGAGAAATCACCTAAAAAATTGAAATTGAATTGCAAAATAGCCTATAGTTCAATAACTAAATTAGTGACTTGCCCAATAAAAATTAGCATCTACTCACTTCAACCATGTACGGGCAAGGCAATCCTGCACCCCGAGATTTTCCACTGGTTGACGGCTGGTCAGATGGGCAGCGTTCTAAAATGCCTGCATGATCCAAATCTGATCCATGAGGTTCCACTTCTTCTGTTTTAAGAATCTTGTTTAACAGGAAATATAAAGGCCACATCAGTGACCCGGTTAACCATTGAATGCTCCACGATAGCCAAATCCACTCATTGAACACAGTCCCGCCAGTAATTTGCTCAATCGGACTCCTCTACCAGTCCTCTTAAATGAACTGAGTACTATGCTTGCACCTGATCCAATCTTTAACCAGACAACTAATAAGATTTCTGACATAAAAGGTTGAAATGCAAGAATGTTTGAGAGTATCAATCACTGAGGTTAAATGTCCTCATAGAGCTATCAACCAAACATGCAATGGTAACGGATCTCAGACGGGTAATGCTATCTGCCTTCTTGTTCTACCACTGGAACATGTCAAGCACCAAGTTTGACCATTTTTGGAATAAACCCCAAACACTAATTTCAGAAGTACACAATTATCAACCAGTTAAGACGATCATTGGATTACAGAGAAGAAAACCCGACAAAATCAAACTGAAACAGATAACACTCAAATCAATTGTTTCATCAATCAAATTCCTGTCATCATCCAAACAAAGCCTATTAGAAATCATGTTCTACAACAAACAAAATCACCTCCAAATGATTATACAAAAAATGATCAAATTTAATTTGAGTCCTCCACCACAATACAGATTCAACAAATTAATCCAGGTTTTCCCCTTCAAACACAAAATTAATCAAAGATTAACTCAAAATTAATCAAGCATATATCATATTCATCAACTAATAATCAATCCATTAAATAAAAATATATATTAGTAATTAATCTATAAGTATCAAAGTTCAGCTAATAAAAACAAATTCCGAACATCTAACAGAACACGAAACCAGAAAAAAAAAAAAAAAAAAAAAAACTTCCTTCAACAAAACTTGTAGTAATTAAGAAGCTTCGTGTTATTTTTGTGTATGTATGGAAAGAAAATATAGAGAAAAGATACCTTTTTAACTTGAAAAGGAAAAGGAGAATATTTTTGGGTTTCGACGAGGGAGAGAAAGACGCTTGTCCGAGAAGGAGAGGGGAGCGAAGAGAAAGCCAAACAGTTGCTCTGATTCTCTCTCTCTCTCTCTCTCTCTCTCTCTCTCTCTCCCCTCCCCCCTCCCCTAATCACCCCTTTTTGTTTAGCGGCCTCCATTTTTGATTAATTATTTTTTATTTATAACACGCAAAAATAAAATTAATTATATTTTAACGCGGATCGTAATTATTAGAATTTAAATGGGGCTACCGCTTTTAATATAAATCACAACATAAGCGAGTTCAATAATTGATTATCGTAAATATTAATATTTTTAAAATATTATTATTTGATGGATTTGTATTTTATTTAGATGATGATTTATTGGGTTTGTTCCTATTAGTAAGACAAAAGAAAAATAGAAGAATTAAAATAATGTAAATTTAATAAACCTTTTGTATCATGTTGAAGTAAAATCATTCATCACGTGATTAATTTAATCGGTAAAAATTTCTGGAATTTGGAAATAGATGATATTTTGCAAGAAGCCCGGCCCATGACAGAGACGGTTGATGAGATTGTAGTCACGTGACATCTGGTCATACGTGTTGACTGTTGGGTTTTTTTTTTTGACTTTTTGAGAAATACATGTTTGACTAGTTATTTTATCCTAATAATTACATTTTTTTTAAAAAAAAAAAAAAGAAGGAAGCAATACAAGTGTCAGAAAGCCCAGCCCATTTTTTGAGTGGGCCGGGTTGTGCATTTGATTTCAAAAAAAGGGGAGTTATTTGAAATTCTTTCACGTGGAAATCGACAAAAAGGAGTAACTCATAGATGTTGACTTTTTTGGATCTACAAAATACTCCCAACTAAAATTCGAATTCAAATCTATACCATCTAAATATTTAATATGTTTTCAAAATCAAACTATAAAGACTACATATCTAATCATTTTTGTACATTTTAGTTCATTATTTTCACTTAATATATTTAAATTATATATATTTTATTTAAAAATTACGAAATTAAATGATGAATCGGGGTAATAGGCAAATGAAATAGTCCCTTAAAAAGAGTAAATATTTGGGTAACAATTTAAACCCCAAGATGTTGAAAGTTAAAAAGGCGGGGGACAGAAGGAGTAAAAAAGATGAAGTAAGTCAGATAAAGTTACCACAACGCCCACATAAAAAGTCAAGAATTAATGGAAAATATAAAAATAAAAAAAAGGGTAATTATTTTTAAAGCATTGCTTTGTATTTTGGAGTTCTTTCTTTAGAATCTAAATGTCAAACCAGAGTTTGCTGCTAGCCGTTGTTGCTCGACTTTTTCCGCTCTATTTTTTAAAAAAAAAATTAAAAAATTATATTACAAATAAAGGTTGTTTATGTAACGGCTTAAATTATGATATTTTTATTATAATAAATAAATTAATCATTTTTTATTAAATAACTGATAATAAAAATTGAATTACATAAAATATTCATTTTTTTAAGTTGGAATATTGCAAATTTTAATATTTTTAATATTAAATACTTTTTTTAGTCTTGCATATATATTTATTTATTTATTTATAATTGAAAAATGAGAATTTAGGTTTTAGGTATTTCCACTTTTCACCAAAATTCTGGCATTAAAGGGTTTTTTAGGGGGCTCTTTTTTCAAGCAACAACCAAACCAGAAAATGATTAGAGAATTGCCAAAAACCACTTCGTCTCTTCTTTGCCCATTCAATTCAAACCCCTCCAATAAATTTACTATTTTAACCTTTTCCCTTTTTTTAAAAAAATGTAAATTATAATCAAGCTTATAAATTTTTATAATTTTTTTATTAAAAAATATATATGTTAATCAAGTTTAGCTTATTAATCAAACTTAATATATATCACATAAAATTATATGATTGGGAAATAATAAAAAGTAGGAGTATAATTATAAAATATTTTACTTAAATGCGTAAAAAAAATTATAAATTTAACTAATAGGACAAAATATTTGTTAATGTAAAATATAATATAAAGTGCATACAAACTTATCACAATTTTTATTTTTAAAATATTTACAGATAAAAATAATGAAATGATTGATAAGTTGCCGCGCAACATATACATAAAATTTGTAATAAATGCATATGAATTCATTTATGCTTAATTTTGCATATTATTTTTTTTTATTATATGAGAATAATTTTCAAAAATATATTATCTATTTGAATATAAAATTAATCACATCGACAACCCATGACAAAATATATAGATAATATTAACATAGTTTTTTCAGTTGGAAGCTTATGTAAATAAATTTAAAAGATAAACATTTATTTAAGTATAGACATAGTAAAAATAAAATTGAATTATATTGATGCCGCTACTTTGCTAACCACCCATTAAGTATAATTATGGCTACTAAATGACCAATTGAGATATTAATAGAATAAATAGAAATCACAACTATAAACTCGTGTTGAAATTTGCACGAGAACCCAACATTAGTATATCTTTTTATTTTATAGAAAAATTGTAAATTTTATGAGCACTGATTGACTTGTAAATGTATATATGTGTGTGTATGGACAGGCAAAGTGAAAGAGAAAATGCTGCAAGATTTCCAACTGGTAATTAAATTGGACTTAAAAGCAGCACATGCAACTCTATATATCCGATAATCACCAAACTTAAACAACAATAAATTTATTACCATTGATTATTGCTTTATGATAAATAAAGTTTTAACGTACAAGGAAGCAACTTGAAAAGAACCTTATATTTTATAATGCAGAAACAAAAAATAATTATTATTTCTGTTAGATTAGCCGTTAATTAATCATTAATTAAAAAATTGTCTCTACTTTTGTTGAGATACGAGCAATTTGGAAAGTAGAGATTCTTATTATGACTGTATATATATATTTTTTATAATGTAAGGTAAAAATAGGGTAATAAAAAGTTTATCATAGACTGCTAATTAAATTCTTACATTTAAGGAAACTAAATTAAAGGGTAAAAAGGTAAATACACGGCGTTAAATCTATTCCCCTCACCCGGATTATTTTATCATTAATTTGAACGTAGTCTTTACTCAGAGAACTGAAAGTGAAAGAGAGAGAGAGAGAGAGAGAGAGAGAGAGAGAGAGAGGAAGAGAGACGTTGGCAGGAGCAGTTTCCCATCACTCTTCAAAATATAAAATTTATTCTAACAGAGAGAATGATGAACAGAAGAAACCACGCCAAGAGCAGTGAGTTTTCAATGAGGTGGGTCTGATGTGAGCTCGTAGAGCAGAGCCTAATTTCTGCTTTGGGTTTTCAAATAAGGAAATTTCTTTTTTAAGCAAAGGGTGTTGAAAAATGGAAAATTTGGGGAAGAGCAGTGCGGGGCTTCAAAAGAGAAAGAATGGGTTTGATGAGAAGAAAAGTGGTGAGTTGGTGAACGACTCCAGGAAGAGTAGTTCTAGCGCGTCGATTGGCGGAGAGGAAAGTAAGGACGCAGTGATGAAGTCCTGTTCCCCTCCGCTTTTGGGTTGGCCGATAAGGAAAGCTGAGTTGCCGAAGACCTCGGTTGAGAATAGAAACGGAGATGAGAAGAAAGTTACTACTAATTTGGTGGACGAGTCCAAGTTTAAGAAGATGGGTTCAAAGATTTCAGGTTAGTTTTCTCTCTCTCTCTCTCTCTCTCTCTCTTGTTTTTCCTGTTTTACCTTTCCTAGCTCTGTTTGGTTGGTGGGAAAACGGGGGAAAAGACGGGATTTTTGAATATTACGGCTTCAAAGTGACTGAGAATACTGTTTGATCTTTGTTTAATAAACTAAAGAAGAGAAAAAAATGACTTTCAAAATTCATCAATTGTCTTATTTTTTGTTTCTAATTCCTGATTAGCGAATTTTAAACTTAAAACCCATTAATTTGAAATTTAAACCTTCTTTACTTAATCTTTCTTTGGGTTCTTCTTTTTTTTGAATTTGAATAGAGATTGAAATGATGAAGGAGAGATTTTCAAAGTTGCTACTTGGAGAAGATATGTCAGGGTCTGGTAAAGGCGTTTGCTCAGCTTTGGCTATATCTAATGCCATAACCAATCTCTGTGGTATGTAGTCTTTCCTTTTTTTCCCCTCTTTTTCCTTTTTTTTTTTATCTTGTTTTCTATTTGGAATTCTTGTTTAATCTAATTATGTTGCTTGTTATCAATTTAACTTTTGTGCCTATACTGTATATATACGTTTGTAGCTACAATTTTTGGGCAACTATGGAGATTAGAGCCTTTACCTGAAGAGAAGAAATCTATGTGGCAAAGAGAAATGGAGTGGCTTCTTTGTGTTAGTGATCACATTGTTGAATTGATTCCCTCTTGGCAAACTTTTCCTGATGGAAGCAAGCTCGAGGTATTTCGAATTCTAGCTCCAGAAAAGAAAAAATTGTAATCATTCTTGTTTATTAATGTCATTTGGCAAAAAGAATTAAGAAAACCTGGTGAAGAAGTGTGTGATTGGGCAATTGGTTTGTTGTTTATCCCTTTCTGCAATTTTCAGGTGATGGCTTGCCGGCCAAGATCAGATATTTTCATCAATCTCCCAGCTCTGCGTAAACTAGACAGCATGCTTCTTGTAAGAATTAACCTCTCTTGTTCAATGCTTTTAATGGTTTCTTCTGAGAAATGATTATGAACTGCAAGACTGTTTTAATGTATGACAGGAAGTGTTGGATAGTTTCACAAATACTGAGTTTTGGTATGTTGATCAAGGGATTGTAGCACCAGAGTCTGATGGCTCTGCCTCTTTCTGCAAAACAATTCAGCGGCAGGAGGAGAAGTGGTGGCTACCGGTCCCTCGTGTACCTCCCGGTGGCCTCGGTGAAGATTCAAGAAAACAGTTGAATCACACACGTGAATGCTCAAATCAAATATTGAAAGCTGCAATGGCCATCAACAGTAGTTCCTTGGCAGAAATGGAGGTTCCGGAATCATATTTGGAATCTCTTCCGAAGGTTTGAAATTCAACCTTAACGCAATAATTTTAATGTTGGTGTGATGATTATGCAAGGGATGGTTTGATGGTGAATTCTTGATCGATGTGGTTGCAGAATGGGAGGTCTTGCCTTGGAGACCTTATTTACAGGTACATCACATCAGATCAATTCTCAGCAGAGTGCCTGCTTGATTGCCTTGACCTGTCATCTGAGCATGTTGCTTTAGAGATAGCAAATCGTGTGGAAGCCTCGATATATGTATGGCGCAGGAGAGCTCACTCGAAGCCTCCGGTTAATCCAAGTCGTTCTACTGCAAAATCATCATGGGGGATGGTCAAGGACCTAATGGTTGATGGAGATAAAAGGGAATTGCTAGCAGAAAGAGCTGAAAGCCTCTTGCTTTGCTTGAAGCAGCAGTTCCCTACTCTAACACAAACCACTTTGGATATCAGCAAGATCCAATGCAACAAGGTTCAGGTTTCTTTTCGAGACATGTTTTGTATTAGGGATCCTTACCCACATATGTCTCATATGATTTTGAACCTTGCAGGATATCGGGAAGTCCATTCTGGAGAGTTACTCAAGAGTATTAGAAAGCTTGGCATACAGTATCGTAGCTCGAATTGATGATTTATTATACGTGGACGACTTAACCAAACATTCGGATAAACTATCACCGGTTCCTACAGTAAGTGTAATTGCTCACAAGAAGGTTTCAATTCCATACTCAGTGTCTGTCTCAGGCACTCCATACAAAACAACTTTCTCCACACCCGGTTTTTCTCCAGCTTCACTTGTCAGTCCTGCAAGGGGAGAAAGAGAAAGAACTCCTTTTCTCTCCTCCAAGAACAACATTGACAAGCCTCATCGACGCGGATTGGGGGTGAAGAGAGTCTTGACGAATTATCTTGGCGTAGACGCAAGACCAAGGATCTGTGGCAATCCTGCTGACAGCTCATCTTCAGCCTCAAACAACAAAGAGCATTTAAGTCAGCAAAAGGACTCGTTGAGCCACCAAAATGGGACAATGGTGAGGCAAAGCTTTCCAAGATACATTGTGACTTGAGAATGTTTAGAGATTTTCCCACTCACTAAAGTTGTACGAGTTAAAAAGTATTGAATTTTTTTTCTGGGTTATTTGGTTTAATCTTTTTCTGTTAGGTTTTCTTGTGTGTGAATGAAGCTGAGAGATGGAATATTATAGAAAGTAAATTGTTTGTTCTTTCGTTGTCTTGTTTTGAAATTTAAGCTTTTCCTTGTCAAAAAAAGGTTTTGGTGAAACCAGAAAACTAATTGCAAAATAGAGATGGAATAGAGAAAGATGAGGCCTTTTAAGAATTAAACCAAGTAACCTGCAAACTATGATTGGCGAAGCCAGAAAAACAAATGCAAAATGAGATTGATGGAATATTTGCTCCAAAAAAGTTCAAAAGATAAAAAGGGGCGTTACAAGAATTAAGCGAGAATTGTAACAATAATCAAATTACGAAGTATAGTTGGTGAAACCAAAGAACAATTAAACTGCAAAATAAAATTAGTGAAACCTGAAAGATAATTGCAAAATATGGAGCATTTTGAAAATCAAATTGTAAAATTGCATAGTCTAAAACATTTGAATCATAACAGGAAAATAGTTATTAAAATAAGGTTGAATTGATAAAAGCATTAAAAAAAAAAAAAGACTTGAGTTCATGCTTAACCTTCTAAATTCTTTCGAACCCAAAGTGATATATATCTACATATATATATATATATATATAAATATTTGTTCATCATAATTATTATTATATTTTGATAATTGGTTGGATTCCATTAGAATAATCGACAAATTCTACAAGGTCTAAAAGATGAAAAAAAAAAAAAAATGAATTTGCTCCAGGTTCGTGAGATTTGGGCCTACTCCTAGCAGATCAAGTTTGGAGTTGACAAAACTCGGTTCTAAACCTGAACTGCACTAAAATTTTATTATTACGGCAAAGGTGAGATTGAATGGCTATTTTCAAATATTAAAAGGATAGCCGCTCAAACAACGCGGTCGTTGTAGTATAGTGGTGAGTATTCCCGCCTGTCACGCGGGCGACCCGGGTTCGATCCCCGGCAGCGGCGAACGTCTCTTTTTGAGATTTCTCCATAATAAATTCCTCGAGTTTTCTACGCCTGCTCTTCCCAACAAATAAAATGTCCTTTTTTAGTTCTCCAGCCGGATTTCTCCAGTTTCCCGTTTCTGTTCTTCCTCACAAAGTCAAAGCCCAAAGTCCCCAAAACCTTCTCTAAAAACAAAAGAAAGCCCTAAAACCCGAATATGTGGTCTTTTCTCCCTTTTTCTGCAACTAAAATCCCTAAAATCTTTAGGGCAACATTCTTCCCTCACACTCTTTAAGGTCATAATTTTTCTGTTGTTCTTATCACAGATTAGTCTTGTAGGATTTGATATGGTAACTTTGCTGAATCAATCGCCTGATATATGGTAATTGGGACATGTTATTTTCGGGTTTAGTAGAATTCTATGTTCTATTTTCATCTTTTCTCCGTTGCTTGTTATGATAAGTTGGAATATGCATTTTTTTGTCTTAAAGGATTGGAAGATGGAGATTATCAGGTAGTTTCCATTTTATTTGTATGTACATTGTTAGTTTTGGCATGGACAGGTCGCAGGTATTGCAAATTTCTGCGCATTATGAGCATGAATTATATTTTCCAGGGATTAAAATTGTGTTTTAGCACAAGTTATTGATATTAGTACTGAAACTGGTATTGTTGGCACTTTCTTCGTTCTTTTGTGGATTAACTAGTCAGTTCTTTTACTTGGGGTGGATCTACAGAGGGATACGCATCCATACATACATAAGGAGTGTTTTCTAAATAAGAAATAGTGAACTAACGAAGTTATGCAAGATAGATGACTCGTGTGTGATATATTGTCAGGGACTGGTTCTGGGAAACAGATTTTGATTTAGTTTTTGAGGAGATCTTTGGGCTGGAGAAGGCATAAAAGAGATATCAGTAGAAGAAGAAAAGAGGAGAGCTGAAAAGATAGAAGAAGAATAATAATATTAGAGAGGAAAATATGGGTCTTGTTACATATTTTCTTAATGATTCTTTTACTAATCTGGGTACTATACAGAGCAGTACTAGAGAGAATAAAACAAAAAATAATAGAATAGGTACCAGGTAAAATGAGAGCTGACGATCCATTTGTCCTTGTACTGGATATGCTTCTACAATTATTTTAGTAATAGAAAAACCAAGCAGGATAATAGAAATTATATCCATTGCATTCCCAGGTCCTGACACATGTTTATAATACAGTTAAATGACTAGGACTCAGTTTCTGATAACTCCAGATCTTGGTATACTCAGTACAAAAGGAAAAACTAAATTTTGCGATAAAGGTTCTACTGTGGTGCCTTGAGTCATCTTACCATCACAAATTTTCTAACGTTAGTAATTTACTATGTATTACAGTACAAAAGTAATTACTAAACAACGTTTCTCGATTGCTATGAAATGTTAGAAAATTACCGTGGAAGCATCACACTGTTAAAGTATCATAGATTACTGCGCAAACTAGAAAGTTTTCGTCATAAAAGTTTCTTGGAAGATAAGAAAGAAGAATGTTAAAGTTTGAGCTCATGTTAAAGACAAATGCTCTTTGGCTTTATCCTTTGACAGCAGATGGCACGTTTGTTGTTTAACACTAATGAAATCTCCACTGTGATTCTCGAGATCACTAATTTCTGTTAACTACATTTAACCATGTTCAAGTAAATGGTGAATATGTATTAGAGTTTTATTGTAGGTTTTGTTGTTGTCCAAATTTCTGAAAGAGTTTTGTTTCAGGCAATTGATGAAGCTGAAGACCAGTGGAGCCAGCATGATTCAGAGAAGCTTATTGATATAAATCAGAAAGGATTGCGTCATCCAATTCCCAAAGATTTCCCATGGGGGGGGGGGGTTTGTTCATGTGATTGATGATGAGAAATAGTTTGAGAATAGCTGTGGTCTCAATGTCATTAGAGGCACGTTAGGCAATTGAGTGGAGGTATATATCACCATCAAAGACATGAATCTATCGAGGAGAAAAACAGGCTGTCGCTATTTTTGCTTGGGACTGGGAATCCTTTGATTGGACAAAGCAACTGGATTGAGGCTTGAAAGGCACGCTAAGTGGCAAGGATCTGATGAGCGAATCCTAAAGCTTAAAAATTGGAGAACTTGGGAACATTGTACGGGCATATAACAACAGCAAAAACTGACGCTTGAATTCCAAGAGAAATCAACTAGAAGGACAGCAACCAGTGGAGGAAGACGTCAAACCAGAGGCATGAAAAATCCAGCTCCAAAATTGAAGAGCATTGCAC